ATATTAATTTGCATAACGATCACCTGCTGGCAGAAAATCCTATAGACACCAACACAAATAAAAATTTATTGTAATAAAACTTGAAATTGGTTGCTAGATTAGGATATCCGCCTAAGCACAGCTGCTTTTACTTTTGGCCTTCGGTGCAGATGTGCATTATCTACGCTGTCGGTATAAAACCTCTGTTGAAAGATTGTTTCACTACTTGGGAGGAAACCGATGGAAACCATATTTTCCCAAGCAACTTTTGCTGCAATTAGTGCTAAACTTTTTTTTCTTTATAGAGGTTCTTTCATGGGTTTTTTGGTTTGGTTGTCAACAAATGCTTTATTACTTTTCACGTAGCTGCACAAAAAGCTACAAACTACTACGGGTATGAATGTCACAAAGTGTCGAGAGCAGCAAGCCTTAATGAGTCTAATATAATGAAGTATGCACAAAAAGAAAAAAAATGTCTTTAAAACTCTCAGTTGGACTGTTATGTATTATCGCTTGATCAGTTAGTAAGTTACCGGAAAGGGGTATAGGTTAGTGTACGAGTTGATTAGTAGTTCTTAAGGACCTAAAACTTAAAAACATTCCACACGCGAGTTGTTCATCAATAATTGTTAATGACAGTATGATCGAAAAACTTAAAGAATCAATGCTTAAAAATGGTCATAAGATAGCAGAGAATCTCAAAATCTCTTATGGATCGACTCAACACATTTTGGTTAATGTTTTGGGTATGAAGCGTGTCAATGCTAGACTCTTTTGCATAAACGACGTCGAGCTGAGATCGCAAAAGAGTTGCTTGACAACGTAGCTAAGGACTCTACAGTCGTGGGTTTATGAATATGAAATCGAAACTGTTGAACAATTAAGCGAATGCCGCTCTAAAAATGGGCCGAAACCGATAAAAAAAAAATTCGTTAAAGGCACTGACGGCCATCACAGCTTATAACAAATGTATGAAAAATTGGATTTAGCGTGGGCATGCTTAGGAAGCCTATTTTGAAAGCGATACTTTGTATCGAAATGCGTAAAAATTTATTTATTTTCAGTCCGCGTCAAATTTGATCGGATGTTAGGAAATCAATAATGCCAAAATTATTGTACCCGCATTAGAAACTCTCTACTATTCTAACGTATGTATATTGTTAGAACCGCATTATTAAATAGTAAAGTACTTGGTAATGGTAAGAAACTCATCAAACGAGTTTATTTTATGGAAAAATAAGAAAACAATCAAAAACTTCGAATAACATAGACTCCCACTGTACCAGTCGAGATCAATACAAATTTCAAATAATATTTTGATAGACATTATATCTTATAGCTAAAGCGCATACAACTCCGGCATACAAAAGACAGACTGAAATTCAATTATACAACAAATATGTAATATGTATACGAGTACATACATATAGGAAAATACAAACAGGCAAACATGTGTGCACATATTGCCACCGACAGTAGATTCAACAAATTAAAATGCAGTAGGAAAATATAATTTAAAATCGGTGTTATGGAACAAATATTTTCGTACGTTCTAGTAAGACACAAGTATACACACACTAAGCGCTTAGTGTGTGAACAAATGTAAACAATACAGCCGATAAGGTCATGGACCCGCATTGATAATTCATTTGACGTACGATGAAACAATCAAAAGAACATGCAAACATACAAACGCATATATATACACACTTACATACATACACACATATTTAGAAATATTGAAATCTAGGAACCTACTTGGCTGCGTGTAGATATGTATTGAAGAATCTCGACTGCAATCAGAACTAATGTTAGCAGGGTTACTCTAGACGGGCATACAAACATTACTTTATATGTATGTATGTATGTATGTATGTATGTGTGTAACGTGATTAGTGCTCTTTTATTGCTATGTGGAAATAATTGGGCTTTTTGAAAAATACAGGCAGGCTAAGACCCCTACTGAGCTTATCTACCACACTGCATTCGATGCCTCTTTGCTCTATATGCGGTATTGAGGCATGAGTTATCACTTGTGCTATAGAATACTTATATATTTATGTTTGTATGTATGTCTAGCTACATATATTTCTATATATTTATGCTTTGTTTATTTTTGATAGCATTTTATTTCATTACAAAACCATTTGCTCTTCTAAACGAAAGTATTTCACTGCTCCTTCTTACATTAACTACTTGGCGGGAGAACTAATTTGTACGAAATCATGCCTATTTTTAAGTATTTAAATACCAACAACATACACAAACATGCCGACACACCACCACAGTCGCACAGTCACATTCAGGAAGTTACTTCACTATTTACACAGCCTATTCCCCGCCTAATTGAGCATTCACTCAGGTACATCGCTATCTGCTCGTCTGCCGGTGTTAATGGACTGTACAGTAATCGCTGTTAAATTAACAGCTTGGTAAAGTATGCTAATGTTAAGATAACATGTGGCCTGTTAACTGCTTACAGCCGTATGTTGTCACTGTTCTGCCGGCAGTTCGGTGAGCGCAATGCATACTCACGTTATTTTCAGAGCATAGACAATATTTTACCACATGCAGCGAATATTTGTGCGTTCTGCTTCTTCTTTCATGCATTTATATTTGAGTACAATACATAGCCATTGGCACAACATTGAACACTTGAAATTGTGACATTTGGTTCGCATGTGCTCTCACAGCATTCTGCTTCTGGGTAGATTGATTTGTATGTTACAATGTTGACAAGGTATTGAGGTGTGCTTAATTTTGGTGATTTTGGTATAGAAGTTTGCTAGTAGGCGGCTTCGCACCCCTTTTGCTAAAATACCACTTATAACATACAGTTGAAATTTTAACAGAGTAAGTTATAAATTTGTTTAAAATCGTTGCTGGCAGAAACTTTCCATATAATCCGATTTCGTGGAAATGAAGCTAATATTTCGACCTTCAACTTAACATCTGAAAACGTTCGACGTTCCTATAATCCCACTATAATATGAACATTTTAGTTCAAAGCTAATCTTTAATTTCTATAACTTCCATGTGATCGTTATTATCAGTTCAAAGTTTTAATTTGAGGAATAATATGCTTTCGTAAACTTAAAAATATCGTTTCTTGGTTTTGCTGATGTATATCAAAAGTGAATTAGTTTTGGAGATAAGAGCGTATTTGTAAGAATTTCTTAACTTAGTGGAATCAGCTCCCAAAGCTTTGAAAGTTTTTTCCTCGTAACGCTGCGACTGACAGGACCGATTGTCTTGAAATTTTAACACGATCTTCTCAAAAATATATTACACTTGCCAAGTAATGATCGAAGGAATACGATTTTCGATAAAAACCTTCGCTTTTTAAACTACTCTAAAGTCTAAATTTTTTCACAAAAATCGACTTTCTTGGGAAGCCGCTTTTATGTCAAAATTAAAAGTTTGACTACTCTTTCGTTCGTTATCTGTATTCATCTACAGTAACATTGTGGTTAATATTTGGATTTTGTATAATTTTAAGCAAAAAAAATCTCCCTCACCGCCAGACAGCATTTTTCGGAAGTCCCCCTGGAGCTCGGCTACGGGGTCAAGGAAATACAAAAATTTTCACTCACCGATTATAAAAGTATTTTAAATTTTGTAAATGTTTATTATTTTTATTTATTTGATAATTGAAATGCCCCTCCAAAGTATGCACTCTTGTCACTTGCAAGTGGATATTATAGCTTAACACTGAAAATAATTTGACATTCCGTCAAACCCACAGGAAAATAATATCTTAAATGACAATCTGTCGCATCTCAAGACTTTATATGTGCCAGAATAACAATTTTGAGGATAACATAGTTTTCTCCCACTCTCCCAGGGTATAACTAATAATATAACCAAAATAACTTTTAAATATCGAGTCAATCTGATCGACTGTATATGCACAACAGTTTTGTCACCAGTAGGGAACTTTAAAGGTCCTACATATCTGATAAAGAATACAAGTTATATTGTTGATTTCAAGTTATACTGTTGGTTTCAGTACTACTTTCTATCGGTCATGTGAATTTAACATTTTATAGAAAAAATCTATTGAAACGTAGCCTCTGTTTTAACCCATGTAGTACCAAAACAAAAGAGACGTACTTTCACTGAATTTTTCTGTATTTTAAAACTTAGTTCATCTCGAGCTCATTTCCACACATACCCCCTTTCACGACGCCAGTGACTCAAACACCACCTAAAATTGATTTGCTAGCTAGTTGGTTCGTTATGCACGAGATATCGACTTCAGAGCAATTTATCGGCGCTCACTGAGTAAACAAACTCACAACATGCGGAAGAGAGGAGAGCCGATAGCTATGTTAAGAAAAATTACCCTCACAGTAAACAGCACGTTTTGCGTTCAAGCAACAAAATCGCACGCAAATAAGGTTTGCTGTTGTTAGTGTAGCGACGAATAGGGTATATTTTACAGAGAGGCTATGCGCTCTTTGTGGTTCTCCGCATACAAGTATAACTCTGCCTGCCTGCAAGCGCTGATGCAGCCAAATGCGTGCAATTTGTCGACAAAAATATATACCATACATAAACACACAGTCGCGTTTATTTGACATAAGCAACAACAATCGCAAGAACAACAGCGAGTGCAGCACAACAACAAAGCGTCCACAGCAGAAGCTGTACAAGAAGTCCTATTTGTTTGTGTGTCTGCGTATGTATTGGTGTCATTTCTGGCCGCAATGGCGTGATGGCGTGTTTTTCGCTGCCACTGCGACGTCAGCGTAGACGTCGACTGCACAGCGCCAAGTGCTGGTGTGGAGCCACGTTTTCAGGCAGTTTTCATGCACGCCTTGTTGTTGTACGCAGGCATTTGCTTGCGCTCAGCAGCGTAGCATACAACGCCAACCGCGTTGCGTGCTGCAAAGTAATTTTAGCGTTTTTATTTGTTTTGCAGACGTTAAATTTTCTCAACAACTTTTTTATTGTAGCAGCTAAATGTCAGCTTTGGCGCTGTAGCTAGGCGCTCGCCACTCAATATTTTGATTGTGTTGTTGATTTTTTTGTGCGTATTGTGAGCACATTGGCGCTGCTGGTCGCTCACTATTTTGGATACTCTCGCAGCTGTAGGTCTGCTTGCCAACTGACAACCAGAGTCGACGACGACTGCAGACACGACAGTGTTCACTGGTTGAATTCAATTCAGTTCAGTTCCGGACGTTAAACGCGACTGTGGGGATTTTCAGTACGCGGAGATATAAAATACTCGCATTTTGTTGTTTCTTTCTTTTTCAATGTGTCAAGAAAGAAAAGAGTAAAAAAAGTAATGAAATTTTTCTAGTTTACTGTTTGTTATTGAAGAACAGAGTTTATCAAAAAATATTTTTTGTTGCTTTTTCGACGCATTAAAAAATATTTAAGAAATGCATAACTAAGCTGAGTACACTTAGTACCGATAAGTTTGTATATGTTTGCATGAAAAATAGTGTGGAAAGCGTGTTTTGTTTTAGAAATTTAAAAACAATTGTGTGTAATAAAAATAATCAGATATTTCTTTAAAAATATAAGAGTTGGAAAAAGCGACTGAAAATTGTTGTAATTTTGTAAACAGTGAAAAATTTATGTGGAAATTAAAAATAACAAATGAGAAGCGCCCGAAAAAAATATTTTTGTTGAAAGTCGAATGAAAAATTGTATTGCAAAAATTAAATAATTCTATTTTGTGTTTAAAATTTTTTTTTTAAATTAAATATAATGGTTTTTGATAAAGTATTTTTTTTTTATTAAAATTAATAGTCTTTTTAATAAAATATATTTTTTTTAATAAAATATATTTTTTTTTAATAAAATATATTTTTCTTTAATAAAATATATCTTTTTTAATAACATATAATGTTTTTTGATAAAATATTTTTTATTTTGATAAAACTTTTGGTTTTCCGGATAAAATATTTGTTTATGTTACAAAATATATTTAAAAATAATAATTTTTTTTTGGGCCATGAAGCTCTCATATACATATGTGTATATTTGCATTAGAAAATTTTAACATTTTCTCGCATGCAATAATTTATTTCTTAAAAACAGCTCATATTTATATACTTATAATTCATGAAAATTGACAGCAGTCTGCTACAACAACACGCTGAAATATTGGTTTGTTTATAAAATTGCCCACAACTGTAGCTGTACACAAGCAAATAGAGAGATAAACGAAATTCTATATCCTATTGCCCAGCGTACCTAACAACATATTCTGCGAAGTCGCATTATTTCCAAACACGCTTAGAAACACTTATGTCTAAGCATAAGCAATCAGTCTAAAATCTCCCTACATATATGTGCATATGTCTACGCTTAGGTAGGCAAGCAGACATTTCCAAAAGCCAAACAAGAAACGCCGAAAATTGGAAGGTAATACAACAAGCAGCAGGCAAACACTGCGAATTGTTATTGCTTATTGTTGTTGCATCCCTTTTGTGCATCCTTCGCTGGTTAAGTAACTGCCGAAGATGCAGATATACACATTTTTACTGTGTATACATATGTTGTTGTTATTCTTGTTATTACTGCTAAAGGAAGTCAAAATATAGACAAATAGAGCAGTAAGCAGCATTACAGGAGTAAAGCAGCAGTTGAAGCATATTGGACGCTGGTAGCGACATTACAAGCCATTCGACAAAAATATAATTTTAACAACAACAATTTTAGAAAAAATATTAAAATTTTTATTACTTCGCAAATTTAAAATATTTTCACCAATTTATCTGCCAAAGTGTCGCCAACACAAAAATCACACATACAAATACACACGAATAAGTGCATAATTTTTGGTATACCAACTTCAACTGGTGCGCCTCCTACCTCTCGCTTCCCCTACAGACTGTGGAAAACCCGAATTTGCAACTCGCCATGCAACTTCAGCGCCAACAACAAAAATAAAGCGTACAAAAAACAGTGTTGCTTGACAGCCGTAGCATAATATCCAGCAGCCTTTTTATGGAGAGCAGTAGCAGTAGTAAGTGTGGTGGTGTGTGCGAGCGAGAAGGCGCACAGAATTTCCTGCGTAACAGTTAGGAAAATGTAGCCGGAAGAGCGCAGCTAGTGGCTGTAGGAGTTGTGCAACGGAGTTGGAAGTGTGCAAAGTGGAGTTGTGTGCAGGAATAAATATACAGATTACAGAAGCAAACAAAAACAAAAAACATACAGCATCCCTAAAAGTGTGTAAAGCAGCAGAGAGAATAGCAAAGTTTGTGAAAATTTTTCGTAGCTCGGCTTTGCGGCTCAAAAATTTACATAAAACAAGTTTCGAAAGCTTTGAAATTTAAATTTTTAGTTATTAAAAAAAAAAAACTCTAAATTACATCCTTTACAGTTAGGCACGCTAAAGCCCTTCAGTTGCAGTCTCTGCCAAACTCGAGTTGTTGTTGCAGCGCTGTCAAATACATACATACTGGTTTCAGCCGGCTTTTCGCAGACAATTTTACACTCATAGTAAAAATTTTACTTATTTATTTCACCCTCCTATTAAAAATTTTACTTTTTCGGTTTACTCTACCGTTGTTTCCCCATTACAGCCCAAAAGTTCATATCTATCTACGACAAAAGTGAATTCTGTGCAGCAGTATAAGAAAAGTTCGTACATTTTGATAAAAATATAAAATATATTTATTAAATAGTGCAGTGTGTTCTTTTGCCATAAAGAGTTCATAATTGAAATATCAAGTTTATAAATAAAATCAAAGTTGATTTTTTGCTCAAGTGTTTAGCGCTTAAACACAGTGAAAAGATAAACAAATCATCAAAAAAGGTTTAAATACCGAAAAGTCTAAAGCATTTGGATATAAAATCGTCAGCTGTAAGCTAAAAAATAGCATACGAACACCCATTTGAGAAAGGTGAGTTAGAGATGTTAATTTGATTTAATATTATAATTTACTTAACCACTGGTTAATTGTTAACTGATGGTTAAAGTGCTGGTTAAGTGAAAGAAAAGTTTAAAGTGTTGTAGAAACCTAAAGTCCCCCATTAATACTATAAATTCTATAACTGGGGGTTAAAGTGCTGGTTACTAGATAACAGGCGCCTGAGAAAAGATTTAAACAAGTTGAAAAGGTAGTAATTTCTTGATTTTTTCATAGGTATTCCTAACTATATAACTATTGATTAATTGTCAACTGATGGTTAGAGTACTGGTTATCATTAATTAATTGTTAACTGATGGTTAAATTGCTGATTACATGAAGTAAATGTTAAAAATGCTGTATAAGCCCAAAGTCAGCTTAATAATATGAGAAAGTTTATAACTATTGGTTAAAGTGCTGGTTACTAGATAACAGGCGCCTGAGAAAAGATTTAGACAAGTTGAAAAGGTAGTAATTTCTTGATTTTTTCATAGGTATTTCTAACTATATAACCATTGGTTCATTGCCAACTGATGGTAAAAGTGCTGGTCTCCTAAAGTCTTCCCATCAATACTATAAATTGTATAACTGGTGTTCAAAGTGTTGATTATTAGATAATCGGCAACTGAGAACAGATTTAAACAAGTTGAAAAAGTCGTGGTTTCTTGTTCATTGGCGTTCTCAATCAAATATTGTGAATAATACAGTTTTTTGGGAAGATAGTTGGTTTTCAATTAGAAAATACCATATTGACAGTTTGAAATACAACATATTTCAATAAAATTTTCTCGACGCCTAGAAAGTAGTAAAAAATTCTTTTTAACTCTGAACTTCTCTGAAAATTAATCGAGTAACTTAGTACTCAAAAGTATCAAAACCTATTAGCAAGTTTTTTTAGTAGTTTGTAGAGCAGTATGAATCCCAATTTCAGAACTTTTCTTCACTGAAACTTTGCCGTCTCTACTGGCCGTCAGTTCTTTTATTTGGTCTACCATCAATTGCCAGTTGTTAAAAAATACGAAATCTTGTATACGAGCTTTGCGTTTTATATTTTAGGATTAGAGAGCAACAACAAATGTTAATTATCGAAATCGATTTATTGTTTTTATATTGTAAATATTCTCCTGTAAGATTTATACGCTTTTGCATGCGTCTGAATCAATTGTCAAAGCACTTTTGCCACTCTGATTGAGGTGTAACCAAAACATGCGTTTTGAAACGCATTAACTGGCACTTCAGGTGTTGAAAAACGTTGAACTCTTATTTTATTTTTTACGTACGGGAATAAAAAGAAGTCATTTGGTGCCAAGTCTGGATTATACTGCGGATGACTCATCATATCGATGTTTTGAGTTGATGTGTGAAAGCTCGCATTGTCGTGATGAAGAGTGATCCATCTTCGGTGTTTGGTTTTCCTGATTTCCTGAAAGACAACTGACAAATAAATGGTTGTGTACCACTCAGAATTTACTGTTCTTCAGTCGGTGGGAAACTGATGCTGTCCATCCTTCCATGTAGATGCGCGGTTTGCCGAAATTATTTTTTGGCAACCTACTCCTAATTTGTTCTACCTCCAACTTTGTTTTTAACAACCTAACTGATTAGCTTCTTTTTCAGTTTATCCTTTTCATTAACTTTTTTGGAAGTAAAGAAACAAATTGAATTGTTAGGCCACAGGGGTTTCTTTTGGTAATTCAACACTATGAAGTGGTTATCCTGGTTGAGTTTTCCATTATAAAATTTTGCATGCGTTCGGCAAAATTGGAAACAAACTATATTAGCTGGAACGAAACAAAGACAAACTATGCAATCAACCTTTTTAATGTATGCAAATCGCTAAAGAAGTATAGTGCGAAAGAAGGGATGAAAAGCTTGCCACAAAAGTAAGGAAAAAGGTTGAAGGGAAGTTTAATAAAAGTTTAACCACAGGAAGTAGTGTGTATATGATGTGAAGATATATAATTAAAAGACTAGAAATTTATATAAAAATCAGGAAAATTATGCAATTTAATGGAGAGAAAGAGAATAATATTAATAAAAAAAAATATTATAAAATTTGTAATAATAAATATTTGAGATCATAAGAAACCATGTACTCGCATTAAATGTTCTTCATAAGTAACATTTGTTTATCTATCATACTTATGTATATATATGAGGCCCTATATTCCACCTAGGCAATATGAAAAATAGATATACATATATTTATCTAATTGCAACTCCACACAATATATGTATATGTATGTAGGTATATATTCGTACATACATATTATATTATACAGTTGAGTTCGAGAAACACGCTTGCAGCATCACTACCTCATTTTAATTATCTTTATAGTCACAAAGTTTAATGTGTCAGTAATGATTTCATTATGTCATCTATTCGTGACGAAAACAGGGGCGTTTTTCTCTGTTGGTGCCAATGAGCTTAGAAACGAGGAGCATATATATTTACAACAGCGCTTAACGAGCAAAAACATTAGGTTTAGTAATATTAAAATTTATCGCGCAATAAAAAGCTTAGATAAAGCAAAAATATATTCGTAACTTTTTTTAATAAATTTTCTGCTATATTTTTGCAGTACTAAAAGCGTTATGGTGTGATAAAACGGAAATAAAGAAGAAACTGTCGCAATGAATAAAATAGTGAATTGAGAGCAATATGTTATATAAACACCAATTGTAAATATATGAAAGAATTTTAAAATAAATATATTTTTAGTAAAAATGAGATTAGCAAAACATTGATATTTCGAAACTGCCAGATGGCTAACTATTAATTGGAGAGCAATAAATTTGTGGGTAGGCATTGTTGATAACCTGCGGCTAAAGTGACGTCATCAATATTTTTTATCAATTATTAGTTATAATTATATAATTATTAGCGCTTGGTTCAAATAAGCAGCGGGTCAACGAGGTTTCGATCAAACAATCGATATTTTACACATCTCATTATTTTTTCTTTTTTATACCCTGAAGAAGAACTATTTAGTTTGCCATGATGTTTGTAATACGCAAAAGGAAAAGCCAGCGGCACTATGAAGTATATACATACATAGCCATGTCCGTCTCGCCTGTATGTCCGTTCGTCTGCATATATACTCATATCTGCCGTACAAGCTAACCGATCAAAGTTCTTGTATAGCATTTTTTGTATTTGTTAAGGGTATTATAGCTGAGGTTCAACCGCAGTTAACATTTTTTCTTGTTTTGCGTTTATTTTCCCACATTATCCCTTCACTTGTCAATGAGCTTAAAGATTTTTCTATTCTTACAATTTTTTCTACTACTCACTTAGTATATAGTATACAAAGCAGCTGCAGCAACAGTCAAACACAAGCAAAAATTTGTTTAGATATACATACATACACAGTTGCATTTGTTTGTATGTAGATATACATAACTGTACATATATATGTACGTGTACATCGATTTGTTTGCCAACATTGTTGCCCTATCGATTGGCGTTTAAATACTTTGACTTTGAACTGATTTCCTGCCATAAGTGTCTTTTGTGTGTATGTGTGTGTATTTGATCTTAATCTTTACTGTGTTTTTATTTTATTGTTGCCCCCTTTTTTGCCTTCAAAGTCAGCTAAATATAGCGAATTAGTGGATTTGAGCGAAAAAGGAACAAAGTTTGTGGCATAAAAACACGATTTACCGCACATGCTAAAGCGCGCACATATACTCAAATACATGCATACACACGTCCAAACACATATACATACATACAAATCCGCATTTGTGCTTGGAAATTATGCCAAAGATTGGCGGCAAATTGGCCACGATTTTAGCCAACTTTATATGAAAGGCAAACACATTTTTTTTGTAGACGTTTATGGTTGTGTTTGCAATAACAATAAAAGCAAAGTTCCATTGGCAATACTGTACAAAACAATGTTTTTTGGTGCCTTTGGCAAAGTTTGGAAAACTTCTAATACATTTCGATTATTTTTTGTAGTTTTTAAAGGCATTGAAATCCATTCGCTTTTCTTGTTTGTGGATTTTTGCAATTTTTTATGAGTTTTATTAACTGTTACTTGGCTATTTTGTTAACATACCAGCCCTGTAGGAAAAATACAGTGATGATGTCACTGTTAGTATAGAATTTTAATTATTTTTACTTGAAACTTGCTATAAAATTTAACAGCTTTTTGCTAGATCTTAAAAAAAATATTGAATTAATTAAGTAGTTAATTTGAAGATGAAAATTATCGCCTGTAAATGATGAGCTTGAATTTTTTTTACAAAGATACTGAGCTAACTTATTTTCCTAGAGGGTACTTTCTACAAATTTTGTTTACATATACATATATTAATATTATATATACTTTTCAAACTAAAACTTTTACTTGCAAACATTTTTTCCACAAGGCTATAAAGTTTTCTTGAAATTCCTTTAACTTCTTGCAGCTTTGCAATGTTTAAAGTAATTTGAAAGATTTTCCAAGTATTCACATAAAAGTAAAAACATCATGTTTTCTTAAATAAGCGAAAGAGCCGAAATTCATTTTTTTTTTAAGAAATTCCTTTTAGCTTAGGTATCACAACGGCTCGGCGTTTTAAGCGGTCCAAGTTCGATTCCTGTTAGGATCAACCTCTTAACTCATATTTTTTAGTCGAGAGTGGATGTACGAGTATACCATATGTAAGTATGTCGATGTGCAGCAGACAATATTAAAAGATTTATTAATTGACGTGAAGAGGAAAGTACTGGTATCTTATCTGCAGGGCAGTCGCGGAAAGTATTCGAAACTTCTGGAATAGTCTTAATTTTTACTAGAATAGAACTATATTTCGTTGATTCACCGCTTCTTCGTTCCACTATAGTTCTAAAATACCTCGACACAAGGCAATCTGCTTTAAATATTTTACCACAGATTACCAATATAGGTTCAGATGAGCCTAACTCCGCCCAAAATATGGTACCGGCAAAAGGCTGATTACTCCACTTGGATCGATTTTGCGCTCACTTAGTTTCGGATCATGCT